ACTTTTTGTCTATGACACCTTTCGATATAATCTATCTATATTTTATTGAAGTCTCTAAGGTTTGACGATTGGATTTCTTCTGGATAGCGATGACCAGCTACTCTTTCCTGTTAATGCTCTATTGACGTCTGCATTTTCGGTTAAGAACCATCCTCTCGAGACCCACTAGAACTATAAAACAGTCAAAAATTGAGTAAAACTACTTCAACTTAAATGACGTCGTGCTTAAATTAAAATACAAATATTTAATTTCACTTTTCTCGATAGGTCATCGTTAAATACAAACATTTCTTTCCTTGTATTCCATTCACTTTTGGAAGTAATAGTTATTTGAACATGAAAGGCAGTCCATAGAATATCAACTGTAAGCAGTACGGGGACAGCAGCTAATGGAAGCTGAAATCGCAAAAACGTGACCTTCAAATCCTTCCTTCAGTTCCATTGAGATGGCAGAGAGAGAGTCCACTCAATCATCTGAGTGGCTCTTATCAGGGTCTTCGTCCACCTCCAAACGCATCAGTTCTCCACTCTCGAATGCAATCCGATCCAGATGTCTTCTATCAGGATGGTCCGTGGGATGCCTTCTGTTGTTGGCAGGAGCGTCGTCAACCCATTGTTGATGACTATGAGTGGTACCAGGGGCCGACTTATGATGATGAGTATGGGGAGACCTGGCAGCAATCAAGATCTTTTGAAGGACGAGATCGAAAACCTCATCGTCTGCCTTCCACCCATCTTCAACCACCTTCGGGCGATTATGGATGCTGGTAAGTGAAGGCTCTTTCCTGAGCTCTTATGCATCGGTTCCCTTCTGACATAATTCAGTGTGAATCCACTCTGCACACAAAAGAAGCATCATTAGCGTCCAGATGTGTCAGCGCTACTTTTAAACTGTCTTACTTCAAGGTCATACCCAAGGTGAGCTTTCCAAGTAATTTTCTGAACTTTAATCCATGCGATTTTCTTTTCACAGAAATTTTAGCAAAATGTTCACACTAAGTGACGAATTTTTTAAGGTCTTTAAATGCATTCAAACTAATTGGACCTGCATTTGGTCGTCTGAGAGCGCCATTTACTTTAGGTTTCTTCATTCGCAAATTTTGAAAAGACAATGAATTGGGGTGCAAGTAGGGAATGCTCCCACATTTCACTCACCATTCAGATTAATGCTGGCATTTAAAAGGATTCTCACTGCATCCACTGCGATTATTCATCGCCCCTCCTTTTGCCGTTACAAATCACAAGAGAATGTTTTAAATTCCAAAATATTTCTAGGTGTAGCGTGCAGTTTCCTTTTTCCCCCAGACCTAAAAAAGCCGTTGGATGATGTTCAGCTCGAATACCTGAATTAGTTTCTTGAAATAGCGATGTGGGCGGATA